TTATTTGAGGTTGAGAAGATACACACTGATGAAAATCCTTCGGATATGCTGACAAAGGCGGTGGTTGCAGATAAACATGAATTTTGTAGAAAATTGGCAGGCATGAAGCCTGTCAATAGTTCCTCTACTTGAAGACACATTTGGCCCCTTGGCTGGAGGGGGAGTTTGTTGGGCACATGCCCATGTTGTCCAGCCAAAGGCCCAATGGCCTAATCCTATTCTCTTTTGGTTTCCAATCCTATTTGGAATTGGATTCGGTTTATTCCTATTTTGAGTGGGTTTTGGCTTTAAGAGAAAGCATCACTCATGATCTATAAATAGGACAACCTTGGAGAATTATTCAATGCTTATTGATACAAGTCTTTGAAAGACTTAAGCACATAAGAGTGCGTTTTGAGAGAGCTTTCATCAAGAGAGGAGAGAAAAAAAGTATTTTTTTTGCTGTAGATTTTTATTCCGACCAGCCAACGTCAAATCACGTTTTCCGATTCGCTAACCGTTGGATCAGGCTGAAATTTTGACTGAGTGTTGGTAACATCTTGGTCTTCGATTTGAACGGTGGAGATCGTATTTGGAGGCTCGTAGCATCTGATGTCGAGCCTCGAATAGCAGCTTCGTTTTGTGGATTATACTCTTTCTTCAATTGATTAGTTGTTGCTCTTGTTGCTATTGTTGCTCCGTGTTTGGCCCTTGTTGTGTAGCCAATTTGGAGAACTTTTGTAACCCTCTTATTGTTATAGTAGAGCTTTTTAGATCTTTGTGATCCCGTGGTTTTTACCTTCGATTTGAAGGGTTTTTCACGTTAAAATTTGGTGTTCTTTATCTTCTTTATTTTCGGATTTGCCTCTTCCTCGACATAACACGCCTAAATTTGATACCTTTTTTAATAGTATGATTTTAAGTACCGCGCACCTATTCTGTATTGATTTTTATATGCTATTGAATTAAATTGACCTACAACAATAAATAATTTTTTGTATCAATTTGAATATGTTAACTTAAAAATAGAGTAATAATTTCATATTTGTTATGAAATAATAAAAGAAGAAGAGAAGTATTGTAGAGAAAGAGAGAGAGGGAATTCTTATTGATTTGGGATGAATTACAATGGAATAGAACCCTCTATTTATAGGGAGAGGGTGACTTAGCCACCAAGTAATAAACCCTAGAATCTCTCTAAATATAGACATTCACCATAAATAAAATTCTATTTATAACACTCCCCCTTGAATGTTTATTCAACAGATAATGTGCCTCGTTAAAACCTTAACTAAAATAAAACCCAGTGGGAAAAAAATTCTAGAGAAGGAAAAAGAGTACACATATCTAATAATACGCCTTTTGGTTGCCTCGTTAAAAACCTTGCAAGGAAAACCCAGTGGGACAAAACCTTGTAAGGGAAAAAGAGTACAACGCGTATTAACTCCCCCTGATGAGAGCATCAATTCACATCTTTAAGCATTTGCATTCCAATCTTGTGCACCATCTTCAAAAGATCTTTGGTAGAGATTTGATAAACAAATCAGCCATATTAACTTGAATAAATATATTGCACCTTGAAATCATCATTCTTGATAGAGATGAATTGTCTTCATATGATCTTGTTGGAATCGTCAGTTCAATATCTTCACATAGAGGTGAAAACTTTTGCTATCATATTATCATGCATATAGTTATAGCAAGATACATTTGTGCACAAATTGCACTGAGGATGCAGTACTTCATGACCATGAATTTTATATGCTTTAAGCAATTTAAATCCTTCAAGGATTTTTAAGTCATATAAGCCATATAATAGACTTTAGATGCATATCAAGTTTTCATGTCATGCTAGACATATAAGATAAAACTGATTGCACATATCATTGACTTTATACTTTTAAGTGTTTGAACTACATGTTCAAAACTACATGTCTTTCATATGAAACCAATTCTATTTGAATTGTTTCTTCAGACTTAAGATCCTCATATATATATTTAGCGCTATCATAGATGTCGTCGACAAATATTTTATATCAGTTTCAATATCTTTTTTCATAAAGACATAACATAGAGATCTCTTCATTTATATTTTCAGGTACCTGAATCTCTCATGAGATTTTAATGAAGTGTTATGTCCAGATCACATGCCTCCTTTATTATGATCATTTTGATCATTTGCTCATCTTCTTTATCAAGAAGTGTTATTTGAAACCATTGTCTATACGCTTTAAGCTTACCATAGACTTTGTCCTTCTAGGACTTAATAGGAGCATTTGCAATGAGAATATAGTTACTTTCTTTGGGTCAGGAAATGCGTCTGACATGCTTTGCAATATATTGCAGATGAATTATCCTTTTATGAACTTCAAGTTCATATTATTTTATTCGAGGATCTAGATGTATAAATGATAATTCATTCCATGTAACTTTTTCTCAACTGTTTATCATGTCTCCCTCTCATGTTAGAAAATTGTTTCCTCAACTTTGAGAATCCACCTTTGTACCTTATGGTGTTAATCAAAATATACACCGCACATCAATAATAATAAGATGGAATTATTTGGTTCCTGATCATGAACCACTTGTGAGGGGAGAATATAATATACTTTGGTATATAACGTATATCAAACTGATATAGATAACTTTGTTCTCATAAGCAATAGTTTAGCTATTAAGTGGAGGCATTCAATAATTCATTTTGCTAAACGAACTGTAATGTAAACCAACTTATCAAGATGAACTTCTTGAATAGAAAATCTGGAAATTATGCTCGAAATTAAATTATTGAGCAAGTTACCTCGCAAAATATCATGTTGCGGGTTATTAATAATCGCACATGTAACCATCTCAGAGATGCATCTTATGTGGTATACATGGCAGGTGAATGAGCCCATATTCACATTTGATATTTCCAGCATTCATGGGACTCAATTCCAATTTTAATTGGTCTATTAATTAATGAGAACAAGCAATGTAAGAGAATTCGTAAAGAACTTTCTAGTTCTTTAATATTTACCCATGTGAATTCTCTTTTATTTTTGCACATCATACTTGAATTAACATGGCTAAACCAATTATGCAACTGGATAAATTATCAATATTAATAAACTTCAAGTTTACACCATGATGTGTGCAATTATGAATAAACTCCAATTTTATTATGATATGGGTTTTTATATCAATAAATATCCACTTCATTGTGGTATTCTTTTGTTTATGTAGTACAAATTGGAGAATAAAGCGGGTAGCTTTTAACATACATATTACCCCGCTACAAGTTGTAGTAATAGAAGATATTAAATCTTTCCTTTATTTATAGTCTCAATATAATCAACCGCTTTCGCGTATACTTTGGAAACTGAATAAGTTTCTTTGAGACTTCCTACAACACAATACCTTATTGGTAATCAATTGTGTTTCTCCAAAATAGTGTAATTGGCTCTTGTACAGTTCTCAATTAATTTTGTAGTACCACATATTCATCAACATCCATATGGTGAATATCTCTTTTAAAGAGAAAGTTATACCATTATGGTTATGGTCAAAATTATATGCAAGATCTGTTTCTTGCATTACTGTTGTCTTTTAATAATCACAATGCCAAAATATTTTGGCGTACAATAGGTACGTGACCAATGACCATTCATGCCATAATAATGACATTATTTTCTTATATCATCTCAAACCTTCTTTTAGAGGTGAGTGCGGTATATTCACTACCACTAGCATGTTCATATTCTTTGAAGAATGAATATGTATTCGTAAATCAGATGTTGTCACATTCACATCATGAATGGACCATAATCATCTATATGTGCTTTACAAAATCTCATGTCAAATCGATGACAAATATTATTTTCACAGAGTGAAGGATTATTTTGAGAATCCTTATTATTCTCATTATCACAATGATGACGATTTTGTCTATTGCCACGTCCACATCCATTGATACCTTTACGGTAATAATTTTGTCTTCTTTCAGACTTATCACATATTGCTATCACATTCTCTTAAGGGAATGAGAATGGAGCAAATTCAATGGGACGAGTTTTTAATTTTTTGCCACAATCATACATGAATTTGATCATGGCGAGGCATAGAAATTTTACCACTTCAGGTGGTTATAATTTCTTACTAACTCCATTAGAGTTATAATCAAAATTTATTGTCTTTGCTTATATTTAAAATCAAAGTATAGAATAAAAGAGAAATATACGGTAAAATACATACCTTAAATCCAGAATTTAATCATGAAGCAAGTTCATGGAACAATAGACAATCATTATGCTCAATCCCAAAGCTTCTACTCGATTGGTTAGAGTCTCGTGCTGATAACATGTTATGAAACAATAAAGGAAGAAGAGCAGTATTGTAGAGAAAGAGAGAGGGAATTCTTATTGATTTGGAATGAATTACAATGGAATAGAACCCTCTATTTATAGGGAGAGGGTGACTTCGCCACCAAGTAATAAACCCTAGAATCTCTCTAAATATAGACATTCACCATAAATAAAATTCTATTTATAACAATATTATCGCAATAAAATACACTGATAATGTAATAATTAATTACACGATTAGTTAATGTATACAACTTAAATCCCTGTCAGAGAGGCTAAAATTTTTGTAAACCAGGAAAAATAAGAAAAGGAAAATCCCTGGTCACTAAAAAACATTGGAGCTATGCAAACTAATGAAATGTTCAATAATATGATAATATTCTAGATTGGAAAAATCAGATCGGGAAAACTAGCTATAAGCAGTATAACTGTCCTACCTAACTTGGACTCCCATCTTTTTAAGCCAAAGTCTTGGATCAAAAAATGGTAATGCCAACTTTACACTATGAGTCAAAGCGGTTTAACTCCAGGCCAGAAAATTCACATCTACCTTATACTCCTACAGAAGTTTTTTAAACAATGTAAACTATAAATCCTTAGCAAATTTGCATGCACATCCACATCTGGAAATTAACCTATTCAGATCATAAGATCAATTTGGACTTATCAAATTTGATACTGATGGAAATTTTGAAAGTTTCTGTATCGGTACACGTTGTTTTGCTAATCCTTGTAATTTTTTCAGCTTTTAAGGTGCTAAATGGTCAAATAAACACGGCGTGTACAAGTTCAATATTTCGTACTTTCACCCCTTGTTTTAATTACCTGACTGGAAGCAGTGGCAATGGCTCTTCACCAACTGAAGATTGCTGCAATTCACTTAAATCATCAATGAGTGATAGCATAGATTGTGTATGTCTCATAGTTACTGGAAATGTTCCTGTTTCCATACCATTTATTCGAACTTTGGCACTTTCACTTCCTCAAGCATGTAATACTGGTGTGCCAGTCCAGTGTAGTGGTAAACTCATTAATTATTAAACATCACCATGAATTTCTCTTTTGTATTAAGTGTTATGACCAAAGTTTTAAACTTCATTTCTTTTGTTTAATTTGCAGCCTCAGGGGTTCCGCTTCCACCTCCAGGTATTATAGCTTTCAATGCATGCAACTGAAACCTTATCAGACTCACTGATTCAGTAATTACTTTATCTTATTTCTGTCAACTAATTTGTGCCAATGAACCTATTATTATCAACTACGTCTCAGTCTCAAAGTACATTATTACTATCTAACTGTAATTAATTGGACAACCTGCTGGATATACCTGAAGTTACTTTATTATCACCAAACGAGGGTGAATTGTAGAATCACCGTAGCAAACCTTCTCTTTACTCATCAATTCATAACGCATATTCTCTTTCAATCAACAGGGCTAACTTCATATTTAAGTAATTAATAATTAATTGGTTGTTCGATGATAAACTTGGCAGGTCCGGCCTTGTTTGCGCCACCACCTGCTCCTCCTCCTCCTCACCACCGTCATGCTCCTGCTCATCCTCCTCGTCATCAACATGCTGCTGCTTTTCCTCCAGCTCTTGCTCCTCGTAGTCAACGAGGTAATGTTGCACCACCAACTTATTTATATTACACACAAAGTCATATAAAATCGAGCACGATGAAAGAAAAAAAATTATACATGCAAATTAGTTGTGATAAAAGTTCCAATGCTAAAAGCAGCCACTTAATTCTATCCTTTAGTTGCTAAAGCATCGGCAGCACCAACAGAAGTTGATCCACCTGTTGCAGCACCAATTGTAGAAGGAACTCCAGCTACTGCTGATGTTGAAAAACCCACAACATCTCCACCAAAATCATCATTAGTACCAAACACAACTCCTGCAGGGATCAGACCAGTGCTTCAAAATCCCCGCCCCAACACTTCAGCCGCTATTCCATCTTATTATATTTCCTCAAGCCTGCAATCTCTTAGTCTAATGCTTATTGCAGTTGTAGTTTTATTTATTGACAAATCAATGTATTAGAACCAAATCTGGTCCCTTTGTTTAGGGTCATCTTGCATACACTGGAATTTTTGTAAGCGGCCATTCAAGTCGTTATATGCATATGTCAGAAAAGTTTTATCAAGAAAATTTCTACATTATGATCATAAAGACAAAAAAAACAAGAAAAGTGATTTGGATTTCATGGACTCTTCTTTTTTTTTTTTTTTTGTTGGCAAGTACGTATTTTAATTACCAAGTGAAGAATTAAAAAGCAAAGTAGATAACAAAAAAGCTAGCAGCAACCTGGACAGAAGGCCCCAGGGTTGCTATACCACCGCACTATATAGCTACTACCAAATTCGTTCCACAGCTCCTATACTTACAGCAATACTAAGGAGAAATTAAGTGCATCAAGCCTCTTAACAAATTTAGCCTTCTTTTAATATTTATATTTTAAGAAGCCTCACAGGAAAAATGCGACGTTTGGACTTTAACTACTGTTTGGTTTAATATCTTATCCTGATTAATCATACTATTATTTATTATGTCAGTTTTATAACCAGGAAACATTTTGTTTTATCCTATAACTGTTGGTTTAATAATAGTATAATATAAGTTTTAATAAAATATATAAATAATTGAAAACAGACTCCAAACCAAGTAGGCCCTTGCCACACCATCGAAAGATGGATCTTGGGCCTTTCTCTTGTATGAGTTGCACAGCCAAAATCACGTAGAAATGGCGTGGGTTAGTCACTTTTTAAAGTGGTATTTACTTTTTTATCCAGTATTTTTAATGCTGAGCAAAAGTAACCACTATTCTATTAAAATTAATATGAAAAGATAGTGTTACCCTTTCTTCTATCTCTTTTCCTTCACAAACCCTCTATCAAAATTTTAAAACCCTTTCTCCCGATCAAAATTTCCCAAACTCCTCTCGTTACTTCTCTTCCACATGCAGTAAGTTCTTCCCCACTCTTGTTTCTTCTCTGAAAATTTGGGTATTCAAAATCAGTTGGGTGTTCAAAATATTTGTTGGGAAACACCTTTGTGAATTGATTCTACAGATTTGGACCATTTGTGATCTAATTTGCTAGGGTTTGTCGAAAATTTGCGAAGCCATTTTCTGGAGAAAGACGAACACCTGGGCTTTGTTGATTTCGTGAAAATTGAATCAAATTAGCTATTGGGATGTGTTTGTACTGCTATTGGGAAGCTATATTCCTTACTTGAGTTTGTTTTGTGGAGATTAAACGAGATCAAATTCAGTTTCTGAGATATCCTTAACTTCTGGACATTAAGCGAAATAAGTAAACGTTAGGACATTATTTTCTAAATGTCCTGAAATATTGAACTAGGAATCTGATATTGAGGACAAACATTTTTGAAATGTCCTTAACTTCTGGAAATTAAGTGAAACAAGTAAACGTTAAGACATAATTTTCTAAACGTCCTGAAATATTGAACTAGGAATCTAATATTGAGGACAAACGTTTCTGAAATGTCCTTAACTTTTGGATATTAAGCGAACCATGTCCTTAATATTTATACAACACTCATGAAGTTAAGGACACTATGTCCTTAATATTGACACTGCACACATAAAGTTAAGGACACCATGTCCTTAACATTTACACTGCACATATGAAGTTAAGGACATGATGTCCTAAAGTTAAACAACGAAAAGTGCAAATACATGACACTTTGTCCTTAATATTTACACAACATTCATGAAGTTAAGGACACCATGTCCTTAATATTTACCAATATTTATAAAGTTAAGGGCACTATGTCCTTAACATTTACATTGCACACATGAAGTTAAGGACACCATGTCCTAACAACAGAAGGTGCAAATACAAGTTAAGGACATTATGTCCTTAATATATACAATGCACACATGAAGTTGAGAACGCCATATCCTTAACATTTACACAGCATTCATGAAGTTAAGGACATCATGTCCTTAATATTTACACATCACCCATGTCTAACACAGGGGTATTTTTGTCCGAGCGGGTAAAAGATTATTAAGCACTGGCTAAAAAGTAAATACATCTTAAATAGTGGATAAAGAGTAAAGACACCTTTAAATAATGGCTAACCGTGCACCCCCCCTCCCCCCCCCCCCCCCCAAAAAAAAAAATCAATTCTCGTGGATGGGCCTTATGTCTGGAGTGTGTAGGTATAATGTCATGACCCAAAATCCACTATAGGCCGTAATGACGCCCAACGTCGCCGTTAGGCAAGCCAATGGTGAACTATCATGTTAATTATTCATTTTATTACTTATGATATTATAAATTTTATTATGTAAAGAAATTTAAGCATTGAAAATCATAGGTATATACATAATTAGTAAGATATAAAAATAAAAGATGACAATATTATGCAAATCTAGAAACGTAAACTAGAATATCCCAAAACTCGATGTCACAAGTGCATGAGCATCTACTAAGGAGTACAATAATAATACAACATCTGTCTGGATTGTAAAATTGACAAGATGAAGTAAATAAATATGATGGAGACTCTGTGGGCCACGACACGTAGCATGGAATGCAGCTCACCATAAAGTCCCCTCAGCAGCTGCGCCTACGCGCCAAGATGACCATCCAATGAACCTATTAGATCCTGCACATTAAGTGCAGAAGTGTAGCATGAGTACATAAATCAATGCATACCCAGTAAGTATCTAGCCTAACCCCGAAGAAGTAGTGACGAGGGACCGACAACGACACTTACTAGTGGTCCTATAAAATAATATAATAAATTATAAACAGATATGAAACACAACGGTAACAATGAGGTAAAAACTATAACTCACATTATCCTCCACATTTCTTTTGGCGATATAAATTTCTCACATCTCATATGCTATCTCAACATATCTGAAATATCAAGTGCAATCTCAAACGGATAAGGAATACCATCTAAATGACAGGTCTCAATCAAAGGGGAATCTCATGAATATTCGGACTCCTAGCGGTATCATGCACGATTATGCCGAGATCATACGGCCCGATCCAGAGTTGTGTGTACACTGCCGAGGGTCGACCAGAGCGAACCAGAGATGCATCTCAATATACTGCCGAGACATTCGGCCGGATCTACAGGAATAGAAAAAACTTATCGAATTACGAGCCACGTGTTTGCAACACAGGTGTAGGAGCATAAAGTAAACATGACCTTTACCGTGTATCAAATATCCCGCCAAATAACTCAAGGTGATAAAGCTTAGCCTAATATAGTTCCAATCAAATTTCAACTATAAAGTCAAGTAATTAAACTAGCAACTTGAGTTCAAATAATTCAAATATTACATGATAAAGTCCTAAGTCTACCTGGACATAAATATGCTTTTAGCTACGTATGGACTCTCGTCACCTCGTACGTACGTAGCACCCACAACTAGTAGCACATAACAATTTAATACCTACGGGGTAGTTTCTCCCCCACAAGGTTAGATAGGAGACTTATCTCGCTCCGAAGTTCCATAACCGGCTCCAATGCCTCTTTAACACCTCAAATCGGTGCCCATCAATCCGAAACTAGTCAAACAACATGCAAATCAATAAAAACATACTCCGACACTCGTAAGTAATCAATTTATAAAAATTTTCAACTCCACTCGAAAAGTCAACAAAGTCAACCCTCGGGCCATGTGCCCGAATTCCGAAATTTTTTGAAGATAAACATTACACAGAACACTGCGAACTCAAATATATAGTTTATTATCAATTTCATGTCCAATTTCGTGGTAAAAATTCAAAAATACAAATTCTAGATTTTTCTTCAAAACCTCACAGTTTCACCAATATTCATGTTCAAATCCATACATAATTTATGTATTTAACTCAATATAAGTGGGAATCATTTACCTTGGAATGGATGATGAAAATATCCCCCTCCAAGAGCTCCCAAAGTCGGCCAACCCAAGTGAAAAATGGGAGAAATGAGCTAAGCCTCGAATTAAATCAATGTTCTGCCTAGCTCCTTCCTTTTCGCGATCGCGAAGGCAAACAAATTTCAGCTGCTAAAATTGCTCTTCACGTTCGCGACTTAGATGTCACGTTCGCGGTGCTGTTGTTCACTGCCCTCCGCGGTCGCGGTCCCCAAGCTGAGTTCGCGAAGGCTTAACACCTGCCAGGTCCACCAGTCGCCTTCCCCCTACGTGAATGCAATACCAGTACGCGATCGCGAACAACATCCCGCCAAGCCTCGCGAACGCGAGCCAGGCTTCGCAAATGCGAAGGCTAATCTTCCAGCCCCCAACAAATCACCTTCCGCAATCGCAATCGCGAACCTCTAAACGCGATTGCGATGTACAAATTCCTCCCCAGATCCAGCTACTCTACGTGATCGCGATGCTTACCCGGAACACTAGAAACCAACAATGATAAAACAATGAGAATTTGTTTGAAACCATCCCAAAATACACCCGAGGCTCCCGGGACCCTGTCCAATCACACCAACAAGTTCCAAAACATAACATGAACCTGCTCAACACCTCAAGTCACACCAAACAATATCAAAACTACAAATCGACGATCAAAACCTTTGTTTAAACATTCAAACTTTCAAACTTCGCCAAACGCGTCCGAATCACACTTAAACATTCCGAAATGACGCCAAACTTTATGTACAAGTGACAAATTACAATACGAACCTATTCCAAGGCTCGAAACCCCAAACGGACATCGCTAACACCAAAGTCCACTTCAAATCAAACTTAAGAAATTCTAAAATCCTCTAAATGCCAACTTTCCACAATAAGCGCCGAAATGCTTCCGATCTACTCGAAACTCGATCCGAACCTATGCCCAAGTCCAAAATCATCATATGAACCTATTGAAATCTTCAAATCCCGATTTTGAGGTTGTTTACTCAAAGGTCAAACCTTGGTCACCTCTTCCAACTTAAAGCTTCCGAATTTAGAATTTTTCTTTCGAATCAACTCCGAACTTCCCAAAATTGAATTCCGACTACGCATACAAGTCATAAAACATGAAGTGAAGATACTCAAGGCCTCATACTGCCGAACGATGCGCTAGAGCTCAAAATGATCGATTGGGTCGTTACATTCTCCCCCACTAAAACATACGTTCGTCGTCGAACGTGCCAATAACTGTTCTGGAGTTGCCCAAAATCGTTGTTTAACACCTCGTGCACTTATCCGTGCCACCACAACC